ATTATTCTGTTCTCCCCTAGATGAGTTAGTTCACTAGAAATTACATTAATGTACAAATAAATCTTATTTCTAGAGTAAGATCAGTAAAAAAGTTTAATTTTGAAATTCTCTGAGTGATTTACTTTGAAAATTTTAGTAATTTAAATTGTATTTTAGTAAGTTGAAACTGTATTTGGCAAACATTTACCAAGGAGTTCCTTGGTGTCAGATTTTGTCCAATGCCCCAGCGATGTTAGATTGATTATTATGATTGTAAAACAATTTGGAAGAGTTACCCATAGAATGATATAATATTAAATTAAAACATATTAATAAGATAGCTGCTGGCCAGCCATCTTTGTGAAATTTCCAGGGAGGGATACTTTATGATTTTCTCAATTCAGAGCTACATGCTTTGATTGAAGGGCATATCTGCAGGTTCCCAAGTGCCTACACTCTCCAGAACAAGGACAACACAATTACAATATGTATGTTCAGGTGTCTCATATTAGTTGACTTGTATGTGAAAAAATTAGAAACAATACAATATAAATATAGTTCCAATTATATGGTTAAGTTTAAAAGTGCTATAAAAATTCACTCAGGAGAAATTAATGTGTATGGATTGTTCAAAGAGGGCTACATAAGAGGAAAAGACCTAGAGATGTGTCCTATAGAATGTGTATAGTGAAGGAAAGGGAAGATTATTTTGGTCAGGGAAATATAGAAACAATAAAGCAGAAGAAATAGTAATGATGAATTTGCACAGAAAAATAGTGAGAAATGAGTATGGTCAAGTCATCTTTAGAGCCATATATCCCTTAAACTCTCACAACTCTGGATTTTCATCTGTAAAAAAGAAAATCACACTACAAATTTGGTAGAACTGTTGTGAGGATTAATGGAAGTGATATGAGCAAAGAATATGGTCTTGGCCCATAATGGACACATTTAATTTAAGCCACTTCAATGAGATTTTTTTTCCCTGCTGTTGCCACCCTCTCAATTCTGACCTTTGTCATCTCAGACTCTTTCTTCAAAACACAACACAAGTGTAATCATTTAAGCTTCACCGACCCGATCAGGTAGAAGTGAGCTCTTCTTTCTTTTGTGCTATTCATATGACACATAAAAGTTTACTTATTTATTTTTCTTTGGCTGAAATAGATTTTTTAAACAATTTTGACCATTGGCTTTTCCTAATGCAAGATTACTTTATTACTGTATTCTTTAAAATAAAACACGAGTGGGGATAGGAGTGCACTTGTTGGGATGAGCACCCAATGTTGAATGGAAGTGTTGAATCACTATATTGTACACCTGAAACTAGTATTACACTGTATGTTAACTGGAATTTAAATAAAAACTTAAAATCATAAAATAAAATGAAATGCCAGTTACTAAATCTATGTTCATGAAATCATAACCTTTACCTATGGAGATAAAAAATTCTTGGATTATGCAATTTACCATCAGGCTCTTTTCTCCAATGGCTTAGTCTTTAATAGCATGGCAGTTGATGGGAAAATATCACATCTGTCATTATAAGCATCTTTAATACAGCATCTTGATTATATTTCAAAATTATTATATTATTGATAGACTTGCAATGAAGTTAGATTTTTTCATAGACAGCGCTATTATGTATAAGTAATGTTCTTTACTACAAGATAATCTGGACGTCTGATTGTTTAAATGAATTTAAAAAACATATTTAGTGTGTAATTAGAGACTACTTATTTTTGACGGTTGATGTTTGATAAGTTTTGTGTGTTCTATTAATAGTAACAACTAAGTTCTAATTAATTTAATCAAAATAACATTAAATACTACTAACTGAGGATATGGTTAAAACAACCTGTTACTTTTAAAAAAAATAAATATTTTTAGAGCAGTTTTAGGTTTATAGAAAAGTTGTGCAGAAAGTAGAGTTTCTATACCTTCTTCCATTCTACCCCCTGGTCCACAGTACCCCTTATTATTAACAGCTTCCATCAGTGTAGTACATTTGTTACAATTGAGCCATTATTGAGACATTAGCTAAAGTCCATAGTTTACATCAGGCTTCACTCTTTGTGTTGTACAGTTTTATGGCTTTTGATAAATGCACAGTGTCATGTACCCATTATGATTTCTTACAGAATGGTTTCACTGTCGTAAACATCTTCTCGTTCCACCTATTTGTCACTCTGCTCCCTGAGTCCTTGGGGCAGCTACAGATCTTTTTATTGCTTGTATAGTTTTGCCAAAATGTCATATAATTGGAATCATATCATATGTATGTAGCCTTTTCAGACTGGCATCTTTCGCTTAGCAATATGCATTTAAAGTTCTTCCATGTCTTTTCACACCTTGATAGTTAATTTCGTTTTATTACTGGATAATGTTCTGTCATAAGAATGTACCACAGTCTGTCAATGCATTTATCTTTTCTTTGACTAAATGTCTAAAACTCTATCTTTTGTTTTAAATGACTGATTTCTTTTATCATTGGAAGTATTTTACTGTGTAATGTTTTGTCTTTTTTTTCCATTTTATATTTGGAAGAGAAATTTTATTTTAGGCAATACTAAGTAAATTTTAAAATTTACTGGGCATCTGGGTGGCCCAGTCAGTTGAGTGTCCGGCTCTTGGTTTTGGCTCAGGTCATGATCTCATGAGATCGAGCCCTGTGTCGGTCATGAGATCGAGCCCTGTATCTGTCTCTGCACTCAGCGCAGAGTCTGCTTGAGATTCTCTCTCTCCCTGCCCCTCTGCCCCATTCATGCATGAGTGCGTGCTCTCTCTTTAAATCTTTAAAATTTGGTGTATGTTGGGGCACCTGGATGGCTCAGATGGTTAAGCGTCTGTCTTCGGCTCAGGTCATGACCCCAGGGTCCTGGGATCGAGTCCTGCATTGGGTTCCCTGCCCAGCAGGGAGCCTGCTTCTCCTTCTCCTCTGCTGCTCCCCCTGTTTGTGCTCTTGCTCTCTCTGTCAAATAAGTAAACAAAATCTTTAAAAAAATTAAATAAAATTTGGTGTATGTCTAGTCAGTCATATTAATACATACCTATTAAACAACTTTTTAAGAATAATGTAGTAGTTTTGTCTTAACATATGTTATTTTAATTGTTTCCTAAGTTTTGTTGACACTGATCATGAATTTTAAAATATTTTACCAATTTAAATCATATTCACTTATATGCTTTACATGTGGTAAAATTTTGCTTTTCATGTGCCTAGGATGAGGGAGGTTACAAAAGGAGCAAACCACCATTTCATGTTGTCCGTTTTTTACTAGAATCTTTGTTTCTTAAATGATTACTTTCTTTCCCTAACAAACTTGTTTGCTTTTTCAAACCATCTGTACTTCCTTCCCTTCTGTCTTAGAGGAATTGCTATCTCTTCCTTGTGGAAAATATTCCATCTGTATAAACTTTTCACCTAACCCTCGAAATTCTCAGTGACTGTAATCTATTCATCTCTGTCCTTGCTTCTATATATTCCCCTTTCCATCTCTACGAACTCCTTAATAAATGAATGAATGAATGTTTCCATGATTCCATTTCTGGCTTCTGAGGTGCATATCATGGTTGGTTTTGGGTTTAGTTTCCAAAAGCTCGGTGTTTATGTCCTGGTTCCAATGCTCAATTAGCTCTATGACCATGAACAATTTTTTGACTTCTCATACATTCAGTTTCCTTACCTGAAAATGGGAATAATAGTAGGATTATGTAAGGATTAAATGTGACAATGCATGTAAAGTTCTTAGCACAGTGCCTGTTGCATAGCAGATACTTAAAGGACATTAACAATTATTATTGCTAAATTGATATTTTCTTTGATTTATGAATATGAAATAAGATGCTATCCTCTCCAGGGCCCTAAAGACCTGTTTTTTTCCCCCTCCTACTTTTTAGAGAAATGTTTTTCTCTCTCCACTGCTACTCAAAGATACTCTATTCAGGCATCTGACTGCTCCCTCTTCCCCATATACACCCAACAAACAGATGCTCACACACACACATACCCAGAATAATATTGTCAACAAAGTTAGCTTCTTCGAGAATTTCTTTTTTTAAATTCTCCAACAGTCCTTGCGGTAGGAAACTGTGGAGGCCCAATTTCATTATTTTGTACACTTTTCTGTAGCTCACTACAAGGAGCACTTCTTATTTCTTCTCTGAAAGCCCAGTGTGTTTATGAAAATAAAAGGAATGTAGAAATATAGCTTCCTATCCTATATGGGAATAGACGCCTTTATTATTTTAAAATATTATAATTATTTCTTTCAATATATTGGAGTTGAAGTTCATCCTGACAGATGGTTATAACATGATGAGTGAAGAGCATTAGTAATTTAACATATTTAAGCTACCGTGGAAAATTAGCAACTTTGTGAAAATTGAAAAACTCATTTCCTGATGCGATTTAGGCAAAGCTGCAAGGACTTTCATTAAATAATAGAAAACAAATTAGAGGGATAGAAACAGAACTCAGGGGCAGTAAACACAATCACATTAAAAGTTGATTTTCAAAATGTTAACTATTTAAAGACTAAAATCTTTGAACTGTACTTTATAGTTTTATAACCAGGAAAACATGTTTCTTGATTATCACCTAAATAATTTGAAGTAGATATTGTTATTATTACTATTTAGAATCTGACCAAGGTATTTAGGAAGTAATAACTGATATTAAGTGTTTTTTTAAGTTTAGATTCAAAATAATTATAAGATCCCATAGCATAATAATTCAGGTACTGAATGTACAATAGTTTCTTCAGTTTTTTCATTCTGTGCGCTTTTTTTCTTTCTCTATTATGGCAATAAATTCTGGTTTGCTAATCTAGAAGGACAAAGAAATGAGTAGCAGAAAAAGCAGATGCTTTAATTGAGTCAAGAATGCTTTACATGTTAACGTAATACTTACTCAGACAATTCTCAAGTGTAAAGTATTTGTTTTGTTTGATTTGGATATTGACTTCATTCTTGAGACTTAGAACCAATTTTCCCCCCTTTTCTTCTGTTTCTCTCTACAGAAAGCTGACCTTGCAGTTGCCCCACTGGCTATTACCTACGTTCGAGAGAAGGTCATCGACTTTTCCAAGCCCTTTATGACACTTGGAATAAGTATTTTGTACCGCAAGCCCAATGGTACAAACCCAGGCGTCTTCTCCTTCCTGAATCCTCTCTCCCCTGATATCTGGATGTATATTCTGCTGGCTTACTTGGGTGTCAGTTGTGTGCTCTTTGTCATAGCCAGGTAACATGCTCACTTTTGTGATTTTTTTGGCAATTGTTACCTCCTTTTTCCAACTAATAATTGTCAAAAGTCACAATGATTTTACTTTTCTTTTTCTTTATCTCCCTTGGGGTACTGAAGAATAATGAACTTTGAAGAGTCACATAACTTATTAAAATACACTACGCTGCCTTTTGGGGCAGAATGCATGCTGGTTGTGTCAGTAAGCTATAGGTTTGGTAGAGTTTACTCTTTTTAATCAGCATCTAAAAGCAGTCCAGATAATTAGTCCATAAAAATTATTTCCTCATTTTGAAGATTTCTCTTGAGCCAGAGAACACAATAATGTATTTTACTAATTTGAACTAATAAATCAGTCATAAGAAAAACCCTAAGTGGTAAAATTTAAAAGGAGGCTTTTTTTAATGAGCCAGGGCTCATTAAAAATAAGCATTTTAACTATAAAAAGACTACCATTATTTTCCACATAAAATTTCTCATTTTTTTCACAAAATAAATATAATGTGTAACTACAAGTATTTTTTGCTCTATCATCAAAATTAAATATTAAGTAAGAGGGTTATATTTTTCAATGATATTGTATAGGTTCTTCTGATAAATTTACCACTAAGAATATTTATCATTTCTTGAACATATCCTGTTCTCAATGAAGTCATGTATTTGTTACTAGCAGTAAAAAAACGCTTAGTTCATTCAGTTAAAAAGGGAATGAAATCAGTTCTAGAAGTAACATAGTATTTTTGATATATGTACCTTTTTATAGTTATACACCGATATTTTTTTGATACTTACGTATAAATGCCATGCAAATTCATAATTTTCTACCTAATTGGTTTAATATTAACACATGAGTCCTTCAGATAATTATCATTTGCGTTTGGCGGAAAATTTGTATTGGAACAATGTGTACATATAGCATTTGTAGCTGAATGGTAGATCATGGTAAAATTTTTATTTGAAGCTTAGAATTTTCCCCCAAAAATGAGAATTTGGAGTATGAAGTTCATAAATTTTTAGCTCTCCAGCTTTTTCCATATCTGTGAAGATAAAACAACCTTTTCATTTTTGAACATCTTTGCATCGGTTACATATTTTTTTATAGTGACCAATATAAACCATCCTGCTTTATATGTCTTCAGATAAACAAGTTCAAGGACTACAGTTTAAATAATTCAATGGCTGGAGAACTCTACAGCCTGCCCACAGGCAGACAGAAAAATAAATACTCCAAAGTATAGAAAAAGCCTTTCTTCCTGTCTGCAGGTACATCTGCTCCTTCTTAATCAAATTAATGAAAGTTCCCAGGAAGGATAAAATCAAAACTTAAAGGTAAATGTCCTGAGACCATTCTGAGGCAATTGTGTAGGCATCAATCAAGCTGAATTAAGTCTACTGTAGTTTCCAGGGGACCTTAAGTAGAGACTATTGAGTTACCTCAAATTCGTATTAGGAATTTCAGATATTACTAATTTTCTGAGCCCAAATCTTCTGAGATTACATTCAAAAGCAAATACTGAAACATCTGAATTCTTTCCCAGCTTAAAAGTACATTTGCAGATAGAGGCATGTGGTTTGGCTATGCACTCATCTAATTTTCAAAATATTTATTTAACTCTCAGTTTGATAAACAATCAAAAAATAATAATATAACATCTGTATAATTATTGTAACCCGTACTAATTTTACACAGAATAAATACTTCCATGTCATTCTTTTTGAGAATATAACATTAACTCGTGTGCCATTTTTTAGTGTCATTAAATTCTAGAGTATTACTGTTATATTTTATTATTAGTTATTAAATGAATGGACTTGAAAGTGATTCTATTTCAGCATCTTATTCAATGATGTGAAAACAGTCTCATACAGTTTCAAAAGTTAAGTATAATATCTTCATTAATGGACAAATGCTCATATATTCTACTAAATAATAAACAATGTTAGATATCCTATATTAAGTAAGAAATAATATTAGATATCTTGGTAAATAATACACAGTATGAAACATATCATTTGCAGATTGTCTCTGAAATATTTTGTTCAATTCTCAGTATTAAAATAATCTTGTATAAATATTGCTAAATTTAAAAACCAAACACTAAAAACTCAAGTTAAAAGAAAATTTCTTGAATAGAGTCCATTTAACTTCTAAACTGAACCTCCAAAGCTAAATAAATTTATAAAATTAAAATCTACTTTACTTCAATAAAAAAATACACTCTGATATGGTATTGAACTCTTATTACCATGAAAGAAGTTCATGACGTATAAATGCAGACAAAATGGCCAAGTTTCAACTGCAGAACTTAATTACCTTCCTAATTTAAGTGGCATTATGATCTTTGTTATCAATTCAAAATAAATATAGTATTTTGATTTTTAACCTATGATGAGGACTGCATCTTATGTCATATAGAGATCACTGATGAACTTATTAACATTATTATTGATGTCAAAATAAATATGGCATCTTCTTTATCTCTATGTATATTTGTCTTTATTCTCCATAATGATTACAGAAAAAAGACAAATTACATTAAAAAAATTCTCAGATATGTGTTTCATTCTCACTGAAAATCATGAAGTTCTAAAATAATACCATGCCAACAAAATTTTATAATAAATTAAGTACTGATCATAATTGTTGGAATTTATGTTTTCTAAAATTAAATTTAAAAGCAGATTGTTATTGTGATGGCTTTTAAAAATTTCCCTTCACCCTTATTGCATAAGAAAAATTACCTAACAAAGCCTTAACAAATGTTCTAAGTTTTTTTTTTTTTTAACCAGTATTGAGAGATATGTGGTCTTATTTGTCTTGGTATGGTTTTATAAGCTATGGTTTTTTATGAACAGTTGCATTATTGTTTATAGCATAATGACATAATCAGCATGCTTATCTGACTTAGTGGAGAACTCTTATTTGACAGTAAAGATGAGCCTGAGGTTCGGCATTCTGGACATGGAATGGCCTTATCCTGGATATCCTAACCATAGCTCTTGGCTGACAGAGAAGTAGGAAGAAATCTTGTACGTGACAAACTTGCACTTAATCATATTTGTCCCTAAACCTTTTCCCTCTCTCTTTCTATTATATTTTCCTTTGATCTAGATATATTAGTACAGAGATAGCATTTAGTCATATAAAGAGTCTGGTTAGGAAATCCACCCTTTATACTCAGAAGGAGAGGTATTTTTCACCTTGCTTCAAATATTTCCTTTATTAAACAACAGATAAACTGATGCAGTAGACACTATTTAAAAATGAGTCAATTTAAATGCCCATAATGTTAGAGCTGTTTTTTTGGTTTTTGGGGTTTTTTTTGCTTTTAACAAGACCAGAGCTGTTTTGAAATTCAGCATGTAAATCTTGGTCTACAGTTCTTTGTAGTTTGGTATAGAGGTGCATAATTGAGGACCAAACTTAAAAGAAGCGCATAATGCTGTACATATTTCCCTCCAACAGGATTGATGGAACCTTAGTAATAATTCACTAAGCTTATAATAATATTGCATATTTTATTCTGAGATTGACATTTTAAAATTAAATACAAATAAACTGGAGAAGAAAAGTAATATTATACCAGTTTTTTTTTTAGTAAGAATACTATTACACAGAATTTTCTTAGGCTACTTAAATGAGCAAGTGAATATGATCAAATATAAGAAAAGAGGAAAAGAAGGCAAGTGATATTGACTAACCTGGCTTTCTTAGTAAAGATAAATCAAAGAATATTCAATGTGTTAAGTACATAACATTAGTTTTTCCAAGTTAAAAAGAATATAGGAGTTTCTTGTATTTTGTGGGGTTGAATTACTTTGCATAATTTTTTAGAATATTAGAGTATCATCTATTGTATTATTGGATTATAGAGCAGGAGATGGTCTACCTAGAATCTGCTCGAGGGTTTATTAATACAGTGACCACCAGGACTGTTTTGACATACATTTTGAGACTAACATGGTCGGCGGTCACAAGATGACAAGGCTATTGTCTTACTGAAAGTTCTACTTATAAAAATATTCTGTATTTCTCTTGGTACTCAGAGGTAAAGATGTTCTCAACATAGTGTTTTTGATGGTTTAACTGAGTACAGAAAACCATGTCCAAAGTGCTTGCATCAACAGCTTTGATCTAGGCTCCTGACTAGCGTGCAATAGCTCTTATATTCTTGTCACAGTGATGGGTGACATTTTATGTACAGTGAAGAGCAACAATGAATTATTACACACTTGGAAATGGATAACTGTTTTGGTGGGATGTTCAATGTTGAACTAATATGCTGTCCAAAAGACTGTTGTCACACTGAAATGAAATGCCAACTTTGTTGTGTGCTTTTGCCACCAATTCCCCACCTCTTACTAGAAAACCATTTCAGTTTTACCTTTACATAATTTTAGATATATGTTACTTTTAATTTTTAGTCATTTTTTTACTTACGTAAATTACAGGAAACCCTATCTGTTATTACTCCTTCCATTTAGCAATTTTCCTAGAATTTAATGAAAATTTGGTTGGAAATACTGTTTTGCTAGTGTGCCTTTCACACATATGAAAGTGATTATCAAAATTGATTATATTAACAAATACCTCAATTATGGACCTAAAAGTCACCATTGATTGAAACTAAATGCACTTTCAAACTACATTTCCTTAGGAAATGAGGTTACTTCTACATTAATAGTTTTTTTCCACAAGTTTTACTTGGTAAATCTGTTAAAAAATAATTTACCTCTTTATTTGTAGTGGTTCCACTGATGTTCATGGTTGCAAAATAGGCATGGAGTCACTAACCCAGAAAAAAAAAATGCCATTTGTATAACTAATAGAACCAAACTAATTGAAAGTAAGTTGAATTGGTGATTTCTTTTTAGCTTATGGAGAATATTGTATCTAGATAATTGAGACAGTGGAGATTTTGACTAAAATTATCTGTGTAGGATAAAGAACAGAATCTCAATCATGTTAAGAAAAAAATAAACATATTTTCCACCTCTCA